ATGCTACAGTTGTAGTCATGCTTTACTGTGCTGACCAGGTGGTACCCATAAGGCTCTGCTTGATCAACCCGAAGCAGTAAGGTTGATCTAATCATGGGTCAACATTGGACCATGCAGGTGTAATTAGACCATAAAGCAATAGACTATTTATAAAGTGAAGACCTTTCACTCCCTCAGGAGCTGTCTGTCATAAACTTCATTAACCCGCACTATTCATCATAGAATCACAAAAAATTGCAGAAAAGAAGGAGGCCATTCAACCCATCATGCTCATGCCTGTGCCAGCTCTTTTAAAGAGCTATCTGTTTAGTCAAATATTACTACCTTTACGCCAACATTTTTTTTCTCCTTGTCAGATAGTTACTTAATTCTCTCTCTTAAAATATTTTGGCTTCTGCCTCAACTATGTTTCCAAATAGGGCATTCCATATTTTAACAACCCTCTGTGTAAACAAGTGGCTCCCAACCTCTCCCTTTGCTCTTTTGGTAATTACTTTAAATCTATGCCCTCTAGTTACTGACTCACCATCTAGAGGGAATAATTTTTCACTGCTATGTTATCCAAACATCTCATCGAACACTTCCTCACAAAAAATCCACTTCCATTTTCTTACTTATGAGTCATGGCTCACCAAACATAACGCTATTTAAAACATGGATAATAGGGTAACCTAAAAGCCTCAAAGGCTGAGCACTTACCTCCAGACTTGCTGGCTATGTTTCAGCCTGAAGACTGTCTGTCTCCCTAATCCATCTATCTCAGACAGTTCCCAGTCAAGCTGTGAGAGAAATTGTTTTGCAGAAGAGAAGCAAACTACTCCAAGATGCAAGAAATAATGGTTTGCATTAACTCCAAGTGCAGAAAAACATCATTGTAGTATTTAGCCAGATATCTGAGTATTTAAAGGAAAATTGTACTTCATTTTAATCTTTGCATTTCATTAATTTACCCACAAGTGTAATCCTTTGCCAAGTACTCTGAATCAATAGCCACTGTCCTGGTCTCTCCAATCAATTCTTATCCCTGCTCAGGGCATTTGATTTATTAAATCTATAGAATTTTTTAGGAGCTATTGTCTAAAATGCCCTTTTTTNATTCAATCCCTTTTAAGTACATTAAATCTTCTTAAGGCAAATAAATGTAAGCAACAGGGCACTGATCATAAACCATGATTTGTGCATGAAATGTTGGGGGTGAAAACTGTGATGCAGTTAAAACTGAGAAATATAACACGATTAGTACCTCGCTAAAAATTATAATGAAAACAGCTAATAGTAGTTGAAACGAAAACAGAAGTCGCTGGGAACACTCAGCAGGTCAGGCAGCATCTATGGTGAAAGGAAAGTGAGTCAACATTTCGGGTCCACAACCCTTCGTCAGTTCTTATCTGCAATATTTTGTGTAATAGTTGTTGAAGTCAGGCAAAGCTATCAACTGTCAGTATTGTTCTTTCACCTATGGAGTGTGGCATTTCAATGATACCTCAAGGGACACTGACTGTGTGCAGCAACAATAATGATGGGGGCCAGAGATTTTGGCCACTTTCAGGTAAAAAAAATCAATGTGCTGAAGTTGACAGGTAGGGTGCAATTCACACCCTAAGGAACGTCCTCCCAACATGAAAGCTGCCAGATAGGTATAAATTGTATTGTATTCTAATACGAGTTGGACCAATCATTTCAGCAGAATGATTGTTGTAACCATTACAATTATCACATCCTTCAGTGCTCATTGTGTGGATTTGTATGTGTGGAATTTCATGTCAGGATAGGTCTGCCTTTGTTGTCACTGAGTCTTCTAATTCACCCAGCAGTGTAAATAGGGTGAATTTTACAGAATCAGAAGGGTTGCATATTACAAAGCAGCTTCCATTGAATCAGCTCTAGAATAACCCTTCTAATATGAACCGAAAAAAAAGACATCTGCCTGTGTCCACATCTTTCCATTATACTCTGTCTGAGCCTGTCCGACATCGAGTCCTGGACGAGAGACAACTTTCCTCAGCTCAACGTGCGTAAAACTGAGGCCCTCCTGATTGACTCGCGTCAGCGCCTCCGCACCTCAGGCGCTGACACCATCAGCATCCAAGGCTGCACTCTCCACCTCTCAAGGCCAGTCAGGAACCTCGGTGTTCTGTTCGACCCTGAGCTGTCCTGACTCCCTCATATCCGCGCCACAACTGGCACCGCCTTCCATCACCTCCAGAATATCGCCAGACTACGGCACTACCTCACCCCTCACGCTGCTGAAGCTCTAGTCCACGCCTTTATCACCTCACGGGGCTCCTAATAGCATTGCAGGATTCAAGGGTCCGTTTTTGGTGGCTTCATCTTGTGCCAGAATGGTCAAAGTCAGTGTACTGAAATTAATTATAGTCACAGGGCCTTCTGGACTATGGGAACTCTCCCCTCGCCGGCCTTCCCGGCACCTCCCTCCACAAGCTGCAGGTCATTCAGAACTCTGCAGCTCGTGTACTGTCCCGCACCAGGCTTCGCGACCACATCACTCCCACCCTCGCTCACCTCCACTGGCTCCCCATCCCCCAGAGGATCGAATTCAAGATCCTCATCCTCACCTACAAGGCCATTCAAGGCCTTGCTCCCTCCTACCTCTCCGACCTACTATCCCCCTACCTGCCCGTACCCTCCGTTCCTCTGGCTCCAGTCTGCTCCACATCCCCCGCCCCAACCGCCCTACCATCGGTGGCCGGGCCTTCAGCCTCTCAGCCCCTAGGCTCTGGAACTCTATCCCCCAGTGCCTTTGCCTTGCTTCCTCCCTTTCCTCCTTCAAGGTCGGTCTCAAGACCTTTCTCTTTGACCGTGCAATCAGCTCCCCTCTCGACTCTCTACCCCCTCCTCGTTCCCTCCCTTCCCTCCCCTCACCCTGACCATTTCCCCCCTGCTCGGGTCCTGACCCAACTGTACAGCGCCTTGGGACGTCCTCCCGACGTGAAAGGCGCTCTATAAATGGAATCTTGTTGTTGTTGTTGTTGTTGTTGTCTTCCCCCAGCTTGAGCCCTGTTCATTCATTCTGCTAGGTGTATTCGATTATGCCACCTGCTGTCTGTGCTGTTCGCCATATCAGAAATGTTCCATCTGAAATTATTCTGTGTGTGAATGTAGGATAAGACAATACAATTTAAATTTACACTAATTCATGTTGAGAAGACACCCTAAAGCACTTGACACTGCTGCACCTGAGCTGGGGGTGGCAGTTGAAGGGGTGGGGAAGGAACAGATGACCAAAATCACAGTCAAAGAGGTATGGCTTGATGCAAACACACAGTAACCTATACAGTGTAACCAAGCATGCGGCAAACAAATACAATTCTGGCTTGTGGCTTATGACAAGCCACAGAAACAATGCTTTTAAAGTTTTGTAGATAGACTTTCAAAGCCGAAAGCTTTTGAAAATGATACTTTCCTCCCGACTCCAGCAACTGGGAAAATTCAGCAGATTGTGAGCACGGGGCTCCTGATAGCATTGCAAGATTCAAGGGTCCGTTTTTGGTGGCTTCATCTTGTGCCAGAATGGTCAAAGTCAGTGTACTGAAATTAACTATAGTCACAGGGCCTTTTGTTCCATGTTAATGATGCAACCTCTTGAAGCATGCTGGGGCTTCAATCCAAAAAGGGAAGAATTCAGAGGGTTCGAGGAAGCTTTAGTGATATATGATGTAACTCTGCAGGCATTTTGTTCAAGAGTTTCTCACAATCAATCGAATCCAGATGAAATCTGGACAGGCATTAAAAAAAGCATGAAGAAAGCTCCAAGCCTTATTAGGAAGGCCGACAATGAAGTAGGCTAGTGCAAAAATAGGATACCAATTGCTCAGTTTGAGCCTTGCGTTCTTTAATTTAGTTCATTGTGAGTATTTTTTTTGGTCACGATCAAACACTTTTACCTGGTTTGCAGACTTGAGGTTCAGGTTCCACCCAAATACATGTTGACATTCAGTACACACTGTAATCTTAGCTGCCCACCTTCCCAGCACTTGTCAGCCAGTCAATCGGCCCTAATTGCAAGTTGCGTGCTTGGAGATGTGACAGGTGGCGGCAGTCTGTCTGATGGGGATCAAGCTGTTGTCGTAACAGAGTACAGTGTCCAGGTACACAGGTGGCCTCTGAATGCCTCCTGGGCTTTTTTTACGCACATTCTGGCACCAAGCGACATCTGTTTGAGAGGCGAGAGTGCACAAATTTGTTTTTTTTAATAAAATGTCAAAAGGTATAATACTGTTGGAGGAAGTGATTAAGCTGTTAAAGAAAAGTCCAATCGTTCAAGTGAGTTTCTAAATCTACCCTCAGATACTGGTATTCGAGTGTTGGATGGATGACATGGATCTGTTCACTATTCTGTGCGAAGATATAATTAAACAGGGTCCAACAGATGCTTAAATTCAATTCTAATTCATGTGGCTAATAAATGATAGTTGCTCACGGCAAAACGGAAGATGATTTAATGCTATCTGTGAGTCATTCTAGCGTTACCATTGTCTGTGCATTGCAGCATACAAAATCATAACCTGTAATTCCCATAGAAAGGTATTAGGATTGAAAACTAAAAACCTGGGATTTGCAAATTGTAACCATTGCAGGCCCTGCAGAAAAGAAAATTGTATTGGAGTTCCTGCAGACTGGGGCGATACACATCCACCTCCAAGAAGGAGTTGCTATTCGTGAAACCAGGTTGTGAACCCATATTTTATTGTCAACATCAATTGCATTTTATATGGTGCCATATCACATTGTCAAGATTTCTCAACGGATTTACTGTAAAGTTTGGTGAGTGTTTATGCTTATTTGTCAGTGAACGTGACAGCTAGTTGCACACATTAATGTCCCACAATCAGCCGTGAAGTGAAGGACCATTTTATTTTACACAAACAGGAGTGTTTGCCAGGATACTGGGAGAAACTCCCTTGTCTCTCTGAATTTTCAACCCCAAAAAGGTAAATATGATTAAAGACAATAAGGATATATTTAAGAGCATTGAAAATATGCAAACGTTTTAATTCCATCAAAAACAAAAGTGAATACAAATCAAGATGTGTACATTTGGGACGTACATTCTGGAGTGTCACAAAGGGGGACCTGGTGTACAGAGATTATTGCTTTTAACTGAATGATGAATTGGGAGGGAGCAGAATAAAGATAATTTAAAGCAAACATTGCCTTTCCCAAACACAGGAAAGAAGCAGGTACCAGCATCGCCAGAAGGAAAGAAAACAATGTTTATGTTACCTGTTGAGTATAGTTTACTGCTGCTCTCTAAAGCAATGTGGTATCCTTCAGTGCTTTTTCCATTGAAATGCCTTTGCATTCAGTGCACACTGATATGGCAAATTGTCTGTCCATTGGCAATGAGCGGGTTTCGGTTTCAAGTTACCACAAATCCTTTCTTCTGTTTCTGACAGGAAGACAGTGGTGGTGTAAATTAACTGGTTTACCGATGAAAAAGCCTGATAAACCACAAAGAATGTAAAAACTATTGAGCTCCATACAGAGATTTAATGATAGATGGGTCCCTCCTACAAAAAAAATGTATCCTTTCCCCTATTGAACAAGACTTAAAAGGCTGTTAACATGAAAGAAGTATTGACTTTCGCTGAACTGATTGTAATGACTCTCCAAAGTTTGCTTTCAGAACAAAAGCACCATGAGTTTAGAGGAATAGGGACAAAGTTGACTTAAAATTTTGATCTGATTACTGAGCGTGTGATCAGGCAACAGCTTTCAGCTAAACAGTGAGGCTTCCAGCAATAGGTATTTTGTGAAGATGCTGTAAAATAACTTTGACATACAGCAAATTCCAAGTAAGAAAATATGTAATAGCAAAAAATAGCAGGGATTTCTAAGTAGGAGCCCGAGGGCTCACTTCAGAGTAGCTAAGGCAACATTATTTAAGAAGTCAAATATCGAGGTAATTAAGACGAGATGCCGATGGTTGTACCAGAGCATTGTCTCTTCTTCTTTCTCTTCATCTCCACCTGTTGGATACAAATCATGTTTGATCATCCTATCAAATGTACAGATAATTGTCCTGAAATCCCAGCTGGTTTTATGCTTAGCACTTTTAATGATATCAGTCGCTAATGGGATATTCCCCATTAGAATTGCACATTGCCAAGAAAGCTGCGCATAACGGTGACCAGATTTTCAGCCCAGGTGAATGTGAATTTTACAGCAATTTTAGTGAATGCAACTTTGAATGGACAAATTATAAACACATCTGTGTAGGGTTGAACCATAGGGGGCAAAATTACATCAAATGATATTAATACAGGTGATATCTCATCATCCAAAAATGAAGTAAAAGGCAACCACTGGGGTGAACCTTTCCCACTATGGTCCCTCCTACAAAAAGGTCAATAACAACTACTGACTGATTTTGACTGTAGGTTTTGGTCATTGTGATAATTATCACTAGCAATAATATTTTGTCCCAATTTTGACCCTGTTATATGTGAGATCTTATCCCTATATTTGCCTATATTACTTGACAGATAGCAAACAAGCTCTTTTTTTTCAAAGTTAACACAATTGCAACACAACAATCAAATAGCTTGTGAATGTCTTTCAATAAAGTTGGTTTGAGGGAATGTCCATGAAACAAGTCTCAAGGCTAGTGTTGAGATTGGCACAATTCGTAATCTAAGTTGGTATAGTATTTTTGCGTTTGTTTCTGCTGACTAGTTAGCAAAGGGGTCCTAAGCAGATCCTCTGTCTGATCTCATTGAAGCATGTCTTCATTAAATCTGCTTAACTAAAATAAGAGATTCCTGGATTCCTCCCCAGAAAAGAATCTTGAAAAGAAATGGAACGCTTACATTGCAGTTAACAGCAACAGTAGGTCCTGGGGCAATGCAACTTTATTGAACATAAATAAGAGGAAGTCGTAATGAGATGACACCAATATTCGCCGCTGATGTTAGTTCAAAACAAATTAAAGTCATGAACTGGGGACAGAAAAGATTTATCTCGTCTCCACTGCTATAAGAGTTTTCAGATCTTTGTTGGGTAACATTGCCCAAAGGCGATAAGGGTAATGGTCACTGGAATTTTTCCCCATTTAAATTAACACAAATTCCTCCTGACAGGGTCCTTTAAATTCCAACAGGAACAGACTACAGTTAAATGAATGAAAAAGGGAGGTGAAAGAGAAAATAGGAATAAATCGACATTCTCAACATACATTGGTTCTGTCACAACATACAGTGGCAAAAGTTTAATTAAGACAGTTTGAGGAAATTGTCGGCTGCGTAGTTGACAATTACTGTTATTTTTCAGTATTGCATTTCTTAATCAGAATAAATTGAATCAGTAATTTGGAAGTTGTCAAATCTTTGACATATTTAAATACTTATCTTCAAGTAGTTTCTTTTTCATGACTTGCCATATACGTTGTATGTATAGGGCACATGCAGTCATACAAACTGTAAAATGCTTTGAAACAGCAGGTACATTGCAGGGAAATGTGGCTGAATGTGGTGCAGTAGATGGTGCAGGGAGATCATAGCTCAGTTAATCTGGAGACCCAAATGCATACAGGAAAGGGTTTAGCCACTGATTGATACAGACAGTCAATTAGTACTTCAAAGGGAACCTGTTTTTTTGCTTTTGCACAGAGAAGAGAGGATAAAAGATTTCAGTCTGATGTCTTGCAATCCCTGTTGCTTCTGTGGTGACTGAGACAGCATGATATCAACAGATTTCTGGGTAGTTGAAATAAGCCCACATCAATTCCTAATGGATAGGAAGTATTCAAACACTGATATTCTTCTTGAATTTGTAACACACTACTACACTAGGTTTTCTGCAGATTAATCTGAATGGGTCTCATCACCACACAGCCAGCACAGTGTCAGGCATCATTCAACTCCATCTATCAATAAACCCATGCAAAATGAACAGTGTAATGTGTTTCCAACTAAAACAAATTCTTGTTCAATCAAGGCATACAAAAAGGGAACTTTTTAAAACTCTAGTGCCCCCGCAATAGTGCTTTGTGATGCGCCACTCTCTCTAATGTAATGTACGTTTGCTTTGGCATTCCCATTAGCTCTTTCAGTGCTGAAGGGCAATTTCAGCATCAAATGGACAAAAAAGGAAATATAATAAGCCTAGGGTTGCATAGATTTTTCTCTTGCTGGTAACCACTGATTTTCGAAAGTTTGACCTTGTAACATCTGCATAATATTCTTACTGCGTTCATGTCTCACCATGAAAGGAGAGGATTGAAGACAATGGCAGTCCATCATCAGATATGCCCACCAAGCCTAGCTTTTCCATGTTGAAAACTGAGTAAACAAAGCACACAAAGCTTTTATTTATTCTTGCCAATTCTTCTATTTATTTTTAATCAAACCTATTCATCTCATACTTTTATTGAAAATAGTAAAAGCAGCAATAAAACTTTATATGCTTTCTCAGGCTTGTTATAGTAGAATTCAAATTCAGTTACAGATTGCAAACATATGCAGCTACAAACATTGAGGGTGTTCTTAAGTTGTTATATTGGGGTACATTGGCATTCTTTGGCTGGGAACCTGGGATGGTTTGGAGGGAGGAGGCAAGAGGAAGTTTATCGAGCAGAGATTTGGGTGGAGTGTGGTCCCTGTGGGAATCCATTTGCTCACAAAGACACAGCTGGATCCCTGTCCTCAGACATTCTTCATCCTGTTCCAGTTCAAACAATATTCAGGGCACAACAAAAAGGTTCAAAGCCCATCCCAGGGCCTATTTCCCTACTTGGGCAGACTTGCTCTTTACTGCGGGCATGTTTCTGTCTAAACACTTTAACTCAAAACTGAAGTAAAATAATAGCCAATAATTATCATTTGCATCCAAGGGTAATCCTTCCCTCCCTAAATAGTGATAAGTAGTGAGATTTTTTGGTCAAAGTGATCATACTTCAATTGCCAGGCTTGAATCTGTTATGAAGCATTATATTTTTAACCCATTATTCTTTAAGACATCAAGTCCTGGATGAGAGCTAACTTTCTTCAGGTCCTCCTGATTGGCTCCCATCAGCGCCTCCACACCTCAGGCGCTGACAGATTCACCATACAATGATGCACACTCCACCTTGCTAAGCCAGTCCTGAACCTTGGCATCTTGTTTGACCATCAACTATCCTTTCTACCCCACATCCATGCCATGGCCCACTCTGCCTTCCCCACCTCCACAACATCGCCCGGCTCTGCCACTGTCTCACACCGCAGGCCCCCCAAACCCTCATACGTGCTTTCATTACATTGAGGCTTGACTATGCAAAACTCCTTGCTTGGTGGCCTCCCCAACTCCTCCCTCCATAGGCTGCAGATTATCCAGAACTCCTCTCACACAGCAGGCTCTGCTCCATGACCCTATCACGCCCCTACTCACCCAACTCCACTGGCTTCCCATCACACAGAGGATACAGTTCAAGATCCTGGTGCTCACCTTCAAAGCCCTCCATGGTGTTGCTCCCCCTACCTCTGTGACCTCTCAACCCCCTACCAACCTGCCTGCTCCCTCCGCTCAACGGACTCCGGCCTGCTTCACATCCCCCTCCTCCCCACCATTGATGGGTAGGTCTTCTGCCACTCTGTGCCTACCCTCTGGAATTCCATCCCGCAGTCCCTCTGCCTTGCCCCCTCCCTTGCCTCCTTCAAGATCCACCTCAAGACCATCCTCTTCGATCGTGCTTTTGATCTCCCTGCTTCCCCCTTGCCCTCCCCCACCCCCAGCTCGGCTCCGTAACTCTGTCTGTCCAGCACCTTGGGACATCCTTCTGACGTGAAAGGCGCTTTACAAGTGTAATTTTGTTGTTGTTGTTGTTTGTTAATATGAGAGGAGAGAGGCAATGCATGTGCGTAAAGGTGCCTCGCTCCCTTCTGTGTGAATAGGTGCATTTCAATTTTCTCATTACAAATAATTAAAATCCCTGAAAATCCAAATTTTTTAGAACACCAAAAATTGCTGAAATTAAACCTTGAAAAATGAAATTTTTAAATCCCGGATATCAGAAGCCCGAAGTATATCCAGTTCAAAATTGAAATGTACATAAATCGCATGTTTGATAGAGCGCCTTTTACATTAGCAGGATGTTCCATAGCACTTCACAGGGCATATTGTAAAGTGCAGTGACTGCGTGTTTCTGTGGATGACACAGCAGCCAACTTGCTCACAGTGACATCCCACAAACAGCCATGAATGGCCAATTTTGTTTGGAGGATTATTGTCCAGGACACCGGGAGAAAATCCTTACTCCTTTTGAATAGAACCATGGGGTATTTAACATCCACCTGAACAGGCAGACAAAGCCTCAATTTATCATCTAATCCGAAGGACAGCACCCTTAACAATGCAGCACATGCCCAGTACTGCATTGGAGTGTCATCCTAAACTATATGCATTCCAAGTCATGAATGGTGGTGCTTGAACCCTGACTCAGAAGCAAGAGTGCTACCAACTTAGTCAGCCTGATGCGCAATGCAAATATGTGTGTTCTATAGATAGTTCACACTGTTTATAACGTTTACAGTTTACAGTCTTCATTGTGCACAAAATTTTAAATCAACCCAAACTCTGCAAAATTTCACATGAAGACTCAGAACAAGTTAACAAAGAATCTGATGATAACAGTTTAGAAAGATCCTTGCATGCAATAAAAAGTACCTTCTTTTGGAGAAATATGAGGTTCAGTTATTCAGAAGGCTGAAGCAACTGTTAAAACCTGTAGAATGGTGATATGCTTGCATGATGACCCGACCAGTCCTGATGGTTGATTTAGCAAGGATTACATGAATACACATTCAGCATAACATTTCAATGGAGACTATATCAATGCCCAGCTTTTGCTGCTGTAAGCTTTATTGGGAAACCTTGAATCATGCTGTAAATCATACTGAGAACCACTACTTAATTTCTATGGTACATGACTTTCCCATTTATCATGTGCAAGACCATTACAGTAGTTCGAAGGAGATATATGGCAGAAAATTGTGAGCTGAATGGTGAATCAAGGCACCAGGAAATATAGATATAGATTCCCTGGAAATCTAAAGTGTGTAAACATTGTGAACCTGTGATATGTTATTTAACGTAGACAATAACATGTAAAAAATTTAATCCAGTTGATCATTAAAGATTGTGACCATTCCCTCCCTCCCCCCCACACACAAACATTTACTCTCGATCACTGGTCCAATATAAGACACAGCCAAAAAGCACCAAGCAATTGATTTTGAAGTCAGGAAACTCATGAGAAAACTGCTATGAAGCAATTTATACTAAGTAGGTGTACTTTCTACTGCTTCTAAAACCACTTCTTCCAGCAACAAAAAAAAATATTTAGTGCAATTCATGCTCCCTGGCACTCATATAGAAATGCACATTTAGAGGAAAATTGTCACCAAAATTACAGTGAATTAGTGCCAAAGTGAAGTATAAAGAGAGCACCATTAAGTTTAAACAATCTGTGCCATCCCACAATATAATTTTATTTACAATTTCAATTTCACTGAGGTTTGGGAATCTTTAATCGAACATTTCCTTCAGCCTTTATTTATGCAGCATTTACAAGATGCAGCAGTGCCGGAATAATGTATAACTTCAAGCAATATGCTGAGTGCTGACATCATGCATTTTGATGGGGGATGTTCACAGTATTAAACACAGAAAATGTATTTCACTAACAACTAATATTAGCCATGCAAACAGAAGCATAATCCTGAAATGAGTCATTGTTGATAGTGCATTTGGAGCCATTCTGGGTGTTATTTACTGAACTACTGTTTTCCAAAAGAACGCTACAGATAAGTACATTACAGGAACTTAAATCTCCTGATAATGACCCACTACAAATGTAAGTACAGGCAAGGCATAGTTATTGATTACACTTTGTGAAAAGAAATAACTATCTTTCTTTAATAGCCACACAACATGAAGGCCAAAATAGACCTTCATCATGAGATCAGGAGAGTTTCTGAGTCCAGCAATGCAGTAACTACACTGCTGAAGATCCCTTAAGGAGATAGTCTGATCTGAAATTTTCCTCTGCACATTGCATTACCTTAGCCCCACTTTGCTTGTTGTATTTTATTATTTCTTTGGGTTTCTATATGGACTGCTGGAATGTATCCAGTTTCCATAGAACAAAGGATTGGTCTTCAATGCCATTGACCTCAGAAATTCCTTTTTTATGATTGTTTTGTTTTATTGAAGCACAACTGCAACAATAACAACTTGCATTTATATGGCATCCTTCATAAAGGATAACCTCTCACAGTGCTTTACAGTGCTGGGGCCATCGATCAGGGGAAAGGCAGCGGGGAAAGGGGAGGTGGCCATAGGTTATTACTACAACATGATGGGATTGAGACGGTTCTTTGCTTGTTTCTCACTTTCCTTCTCTCCTGAATGTACAATATTTATTTGCATTGGTGACAACCACAACCACAATTATCTACTGCTACAAGCCCAAATAACTATTCTTCGTGTGCATGTGTCTGTATTTGACCATTAGAACCATTCAGCTGAGACCAGCCTTGACCTCAAAACATACGTACACACGTATATATTGATGAAAGATCACAGAACAGCAAACAGAAGCTGTACTCTGGATAATTTTCTTGCTGATTTTCTTGCGTTCCTAGTCCAAGGACACTGAGGCCAAATATAAAATCTTTGACTGCTGCCCTGTCTGCCCATCTGCCCTTGTAGAAATCAGGAATGGATCTTAACATGACTCAATGTCACACCTAGAAGTGAAAATGTAATGTTTCTAGCAGATTAATATAGTAATTATATTGATTACTGTTAGGTTATCTGTTATGAAACAGAATGTTTTTATCATAGTATTACACAGCACAGAAGGAGGCCATTCGGCCCATTGTGCCTGTGCCGGCTCTTTGAAAAGATCTATCCAAATGAATCCCACTCCCCTGCGCTCTCCCCATCGCCCTGCAAACTTGTCCTCCCAAAATAATTATCTACTTCTCTCTTAAAAATTTTTGTCAAATCATCTTTCACCACCCTTTCAGGCAATGCATTCCAGGTCGGAACAACTCGCTGTGTGAAAAAATTTCTCCTCACTTCCCCTCTGTTTCTTTTAACAACTATTTTAAATCGGAGTCCTCAGGTTATCGACTCACCCATCAGTGGAAATAGTTTCTCCTTGTTCACCCTACTGAATCCCCTCATAATCTTGAAAACATCTATTAAGTCTCCTCTTAACCTTTTCTGCTCCAAGGAGAATAATCCTACTTTAGCCTTTCCTGATAACTGAAGTCCCTCATTCCTGGTACCATCCTGGTAAATTTATTTTTCACCCTCTCCAATGCCTTGACATCCTTCTTAAAGTGTGGTGCACAGAACTGAACACAGTACTCTTGCTGAGGCCTAACCAGTGTTTCATAATTCTTCATCATAACTTTCTGACTTATCTGAAAGAGGAACTGATCCTGTCTCCCAGCTTCCCATGGTGGCTCAATGTTTAAATGCATCATGGGAGAAAGGGTATGTTTCCCCCTTCACATATGATGCCTTAAAATATTGAACCATTTCGGGAAGTTGAGACATAGGACCCTGACTGTGAACAACACTGCAGCAAGTCTTCACAAGTTGTTATTCAGAATCAGGCCAACAACCCTCAAATGAAACTTGTCACTAATTTCAAAGCTGTTTATAGGACATTGCTGTGGCCAAGCTGATTGTCATGTTCACTTTACAGTAAAAATCCTGTGAAGCAACTTGAGATGTTTCAATGACATGGTAAGGCACTTATCAAATACAAAGATTATTATTAAATCTCTTCAAATTAAATTCAGCTGTTCAGAGATAATAGATAGAAAAATGTGATATTCAGAACGTCACAATGTTCACCCCATTTGGATGATCTGTATAAAGTGCAGATTCCTTTTCTTAAACTCCTGATGACCTGAAGCAAGTTATGAAGGAACGACAGCTTGACTGAGACGAGAATGAAATCTGTCTGCAAAGATTTCAAGTCTGCCGTCAGGGATCATTGCTCAAAAATTCTATGTTTCACCATTTTATAAAAAGGTTTAAATCATCTCAATCTACACTCAAGAAAATAAGAAAGTTCCAATCTTAATGACATCTTTGGTCTTGAAAATATGGGAAAGGTTATTTAATAATAATAATCCTTGCATTTGATATAGCGCCTTATTGCGTCGTTGAGACATCTCAAAGCACTTCATAGAATATATTGTAAAGTGAATTAACTGTATAAACAGTTTTAAACAATGAAAATCAGTATATTAAATTAGCTAAATATGGGCATCCCTTTTGTTGTAAGATTCTGTATGTGGAGTGAGGAGTCAAGTAATTGCCAAGATTTTCTTATTGTAAGGAAAAAGACTAAGCTTCTCCTAAAGAATTAACAACAACAACAAATTACATTTGCATAGTGATGAGGATGTCCCAAGGGACTGGAAAGTGATGGATTTGAACCTGAGCTGGAGGTTGGGATCAGGGGGGTGGAGTGCAGAGAAGGCTGGGATAGGAGGGTGGCCGAAGGTTTGGTCGAAGAGGGAGGGTCTTGAGATAGGCTTTGGAGGAGGCAAGCGAGGGGCCAAGGGGAAGGCATTGTGGGATTGAGTTCCAATGAGTGGGGGCAGAAATGCTGAAGGCCCAACCAGCGCTGGTGGGGAGGGCCAGGCGGGGGACATGGAGCAGGCTGGAGCCTGCTGAGCGGAGGGAGCAGACAAGTCTCTATGAAGTTAGTTGGTTACAGAGATATGAGCTGCAGAGTTCTGGATGATCTGCAGCTTGTGGAGGGTAGAATTGGGAAGAACGACAAGCGGGGAGTTGGCGTAGTAGTCGAGTCTAGATGTGATGAATGCGTGGATGAAGGTCTCGGCAGCCTGAGTGGAGAGGCAGTGACGGATCCGGACAATATTACAGAGATGGGGGAAGGCAGAACAGTCATGACACAGATATGGGATATAAAGGACAGTTGAGGGTCGAACAAGACGTCAAGGTTCTGTACTGACTCAGTGAGACAGAATATGTTCCATTTCTCCCACCCAAAGGCTGAAGATTGATAAATTGACTAACCTTGAAAACTGAGGACACTTTATTTCCATTGGGTTTTTCATTTTAAATTGGTGACTTTGAGTCCTGTGCTTGCAATGAAGGAAAATAGCAGCTTGTTTGCAACCTAATCACTTATGCCTAAAATAATTGTGCCTACAAATACAAAACAACAGTCATTACACTTTATAATAAATCCTGTGAAACAAATGTAAACTATTATTATAATTTCAGTAACTTTGATCATGCTCCCCTCTATCATTTTCTTAAGCAGAAAAAGTTCAGTATTTATAAGACTCTCCTCAAAACCAAGAGCTCTATGACCCAGAGCCATCCTGGATATTCTTCTTTCAACCAAATCAATATTTCAAGTGTTTTGGGGCATACTATAAAATTATAATAATCCTTGCATGTGATATAATGCCTTATCATGTTGTTGAGACATTGCAAAGTGCTTCACAGAATATAAAGTCAATTGACTGTATATCTTGTGGTGAAACACAGCAGCCAATTGTCCACAGCAAATCTCTTACTTTGTTGAATTATACAGACCAGTGGGCTTGAGTTCCTGCTCCAGATTGAAATCCATTGACTCTCTGCTAGAAATGTGAAAATATGAATTAGGTCAGATTAGCTGTAGTGAATTCTCTACACTCTCACATAGTCACACCTTGTACCATTTCCTGTTCTTCTGGGATAGGTTCACTGATGCTGACTATCCTCCTGTACCTCCACTGGGCATTCTTCATGTGAGACTGTAGACCTTAATTCTGATGGGAGGGAGGTTGGGCAGGTTCTGCCTTCACCAGATCGCCACACAAATACATAATACAGGATGGTTACTGGTTAGTCATCAGGAACAGAAGCCTAACTCTGTGCCTCTAAGGTAAATTGTTAGAATCCTTACCTTTGGCCACTCGAAATGAGTTGAGCTAACTCAACACAGATCTGACATAAAATCAAGTTTTGTGCTGTGTGGCTTTCATTCTCCACTGAGCAATGTCTTTACCAACACACCTCGGCTAGCTCAGAAATCAGCTGCAATAAGACATGTAATAGGTCTTCCAGTGCTAGAAACAATTTCCTTTTAGTCTTAGCCGCAGACAAACTGCAGACTGTCTGTAGTAAACTGATATGTATATACTGTAATCTCTATCACTTGGAAATAAAACTGTATATTTTAGTGTCAGCTGCCAGACTCTTTATCCATCTGTAATTTTGTCAATTTAAGATCAGGTCACAGAAACTTAGAATAATCTATTTTGGGAAAATAATTTGGAGAGATATATGGGCAACATCTGGTATATGTATATAAGACTCAGTAGCATATTCATTTTAGTCACATTAACCCAGCCCCTAAGAGACAAAGGTAGAAAAGTTTGACCATGCAGTTTTGTTTTAAGTTTTATATTACACTACGTTCATCCCGATAATGAATGGCTTAATTTAGATTCAGTTGCAACATTAGTGATAAATAGATAAACTACAAATAGTACAATTTTTTNAAATATACAATCAATTGAAATTCATGACAGATTTCTTATTAAACTAGTCATGTGTTAAAGAAGAATTTAACTATAATACTGAGCACAAATTGTTACCAAGGAAGAATATTCTGAATATACAAGACTAGTGTTCTTTAGAGTGGGTGGTATATTATAACATAAACACGACTTCAACTAGAATTGGGGAAATCTATCATATGCCTTTCTGGGAAACTATGTGGAGTCCTGTAGCTCAGTGGTTAGAGCACTCACTTTGCAAGTGAGAGACCTGAGTTCAATTCCAGGCAGGGCGAAAACTTGGGCAAGTTTCCTTACTCCACATGCCTAATAATAATCCCTCCAAAACCAAAAACAATAATAAATTGGTTATTTTCAATCTACGACTGTTTGTGGGACATTGCTGTGCGCAATTGGCTGCCGCGTTCGCTCACAAATATACAGTCACTTCACTTTACAGTGTGTTCTGTGAAGCGCCTTGGGACGTCCTCCCGACATGAAAGGCGCTCTATAAATGGAATCTTGTTGTTGTTGTTGTTGTTGTATTATTATATTATTATTCCTCATGCACACCCTCCTCATGAATCTAATCCTTACATATTTAGATTCTGTGCATTTCCAGACTAATTAAGTACAAGGTAATATAGGGTATTGCAAAGCATGAGTACAAAATTAGTCATTCACTTAATAACTGTATGTGGAACATTACTGTGCGCATGTTGGCTGCCGTGTTTGCCCATAAAAACATATATGTCCCAGTTTAACATTAGTTACATTGTTAACCCTTTTGTTTTAGGTGTTCCGAGACACTATCCTGTTTGAAGGGCCCTATATAAATTCAAGTTGTTGTTGCTGTCTTTATGCCAGTTGGGTATCAAGGCTGCATTAAATAGGTGGAAAGTTCTGTGATCAACTCACATAAATTGAGCTGTAGTAACATTACACAACATGATACTGAGGTATATGTCACTGCATTATAATACATAACCGCTATCTTTACCTTGATCAATAAAAATAAAGATACAAGAGTTATGTATTTTTAAACTTTAATCTTTTTACTTTGAATGGTCAGAGTATGATGGTAGGGTAATATTAAACTACCAAGTCAAATACTGTGTTATGAGGCAATAAAACAATGAATTATTAAGATGAAGGCATAAACTATGAAACTGAAGCTTTAGCTGTTGATCAATGTTAGCTTAAATTCAATATGTTACTGGCCGAAACATATCAGGCTAGGTTTTTCTGGTTTTACTTGCAAAGCTAGCAGTATTCACTTTTTATGTGCTTATATAATAAATGAATAGAAACGAATGAACAGTAGGTTTAGAAAACTTACTCGCCTCTGAGTTAGAAGGTTATGGGTTCAAGGCCCATTTGGGGACTTTGGGAATCATTGGTTTACAATCCATTGCAGTGCTGGGGAGTGTTACATTGTCATATGTGCTGTCTTTCAGATGAACCAAAGTCCTGTGTACCTGTTCAGATGGACATTAAAGATCTCATGGCATTATTCAAAAAGAGAAGGGAGTTTCACCGAGTTTCCTGGCCAACAATGACGCAAGTAAAATTGATCATTCATTTCATAGTTGTTTGTGAAACATTGCTGTGATATTGAAAAATCTCTGGATGTATATTTACTTATGACTCAATTCACTGCACTCAGCAGACAGTATAACATTGTTTACCCACAAAAAAGAAAGGACAAGAAATTTGCATTTAAGTCTAACATGAATCTTTGTGAATCTCCTGATCAGGACAGGGCGAAACCTTAGGCAAGTTTACTTACTCCACACACATACCTCTGTTTATCTAGCAGTAAGTAGTTAGTCAATTGGCGGATTGATTTCCAGGGGAAATAATCTCTTCAAAAATTGAATAGTAATAATATGGTCACTCAATCCTCAACTGTTTGTGTGACACTGCTGTGCTCAATTGGCTGCCAAGTTTCGCCCCCAAAATACACAGTGTACTTTACAGTGTATCCTGTGAAGTGCTTTGAGACGTCTCGAAGACGTGAAAAGGTGCTATAGCAAATGTAAGGATTATTAAATCCACTGGAATCTCTTATCAATCTCCTGAAAATCTCTTTGTTTCTCACTATCAGTCAGGGGGAGCTCCCTGGAGCTAGCTCAAAGCCCTATCAGATATATGGTGCTGGCTGGGTAAGCAGTGGGAAGAATGTATGCCAGACAGAGCTTTCAAGGTAAAATATGATCTTTTACTTGGTTAAATTCCAGCAATACCTTATTATACACTCTGGGCTCCCCAAGCCTTGGCTCTTGACAACCTGAATCTAAATCCCTTAGGTAAGCAGGGTGCATCCTTCCAGGGAGAGAGTGTGCATTTCATTACAGACAGGGATTTTTTTGTATTATTTCATAAGTGGGACAGTCTGGTGTGTATACTCTTAAGCATGGGTTAGGGTTCCACAGGTGTCAGACACCTGGCTGATCGAAAATAAAATCCCTGTTTTTCGGAAAGGCCTAAACCAGAAATTCATCTTTGAGAATTTTCACCCCATAATCTGATTGCAGTAAATAGCAGAGCACCATCTATACAGACTGTTGGCTGCACACTAAGCTGGAAGGTTGCTAGAAATGCTAATTTGCTTTTCTAGAATAAACAGCGCTTGGGTCTTTAGAAAATATCTGTTGCATTCAGCAACACCATCTAGAATAGAGCCCAGTACTTGTCACTTTGCAAGTCCTTGGGTAATACGTAAGTGCCATTATTTCCCTTGACTGCAGTCATTGTTTCCAGAATATAACACTGGCTACTGTGATACATTCAAATAACTTAACTATGTCTGACAACACAAAATAATTTTGATGTAGGACAGATCAGGAGTGCGAAATTTCTCACCAGATTAAGATTCAAGTTATCAAGTATAATCTTCTCTCAAACAACTGGTTTATTGATTATTGAATCACCAGCAGTGCTCTTGCCAATGTCTGCCTCTCTGCAAACAAGAAAAATACTAACCTGGAAACAGGCCATCTTTATATTAAGGTTTTCATCAGCAAGTTGTCCAGGCAACAAAGAGTCTTCTTGCTGTCCTGTAGCAAGTAGATTACTTTGGTTAGAACACAAATGTGTAGCTGAAAGAAGGAAGAGAAAGGCATGAAATGAAAAAAGTATTGTTCCTTTATTTGTGTTATTTGAATTGACCTGTGTTGCAATGGAGACAGGCCTTATACTCTGTCCTTCAGTGCAATTCAAATCTCTTTGTGTTTCATTGATTCTATTTCAATGAGTTAAGCAATTACTTGTACTCTACACTTTACCCATTTGAACTGTTTACACAGATAGTCAGATCTAATGTTGCACTCATAAGCAGGGTTGATGAAAATCAATTTTTATTTTTCTGATTATTCTTGGATAATACTGCAAATTAATGTTAAATAATTTGTATTGATATTTACCAAATTTTATCGATTGTTTTTGAAAACAATTTTCAAACTCGGAGGGCAAAAAAAACAAGACCAACTGACAATCATAATAATAATTAATTCACATGTATTGCCTGTATAAATGTGTCTTTATCAGATACCGCTGCAAGCAAAGAATCAGTCACAGACATCCAGGCCTCCTCAGCTATCTCAACAGTAGAACTAATTTCAGAGTCACTTTCACTGTAAACACACATCTTCCTCCTCCTCCTCCTCCTCCACCTCCTCCTCCTCCTCCTTCCCTTTGCTGACCTCTAAGGCTCAGATCATGTTAATTCACAATTGTTTCAAAAATCAATTTTATTGAAGGAACTTATTTGCATTGGATTGTGGAATTTCTCAAAAAACAATGAATATCAATCCATGTTCACCAATTTTTAACAAATCCATAAAAGCCCATTTGCTTCCCCAAAGCAATCAACAACATATCATCTGAACTCCAAATTAAAAATTTTGTCTTTTTGGAAAGGTCACCTTCATATTTCTGATCAAAATCACTCCAGTGTACAACAAATTCTGTATATCACACCACCTTCCTTATACATATCCATTAAGCTCAGGGTGGGGGGGGGATTGGGATCAGGGAGGGTGGAGAGTGGGGATGATGGGGGTAGTAGGGTGGCCGAAGGCATGGTCGAAGAGGAGGGTCTTGAGGCATGCCTTGGAGGAAACCAAGGAGGGAGCGAGGCGAAGGGAATGTGGGATGGAGTTCCAGAGGGTGAGTCAAGAGTGGCTGAAGGCTTGACCACCAAAAGTGGGGCGGGCCGGGCAGGAGATTTGGAGTAGATCGGAGCCTGCTGAGCGGAGGGAGCGGACAGATTGAAAAGGGGTTAGCATGTCGGAGAGTTAGGAGGGGGGAAGGCCATGGAAGGCTTGAAGGTGAGGATGAGAAGTTTGAACTCAATCCTCTGAGGCATTGGGAGCCAGTGGAGCTGGGTGAGGGTGGGTGTGATGGCGTCACGGAGCCTGGTATGGGAGAGAACACAAGCTGCAGAGTTCTGGATGATATGCAGCTTGTGGAGGGAAGAGTTGGGAAGGCCAACAAGCAGGCATTGGCATAGTCGAGCCTGGTTGTAATGAAGGCATATATGAGGGTTTCAGCCACCTTAGGGGTGAGGAAGTCGCGAGGCAGCAAAGTCGGGCAATGTTGCGGAGATGGGGGAAGGCAGCATTGAAATGTGAGTTTATGCAATGAAAGGTTTATGCACTGAAATGACCAATTTATTATTGTGTTTTTTTCTTGAGGAATTATTATCAGGCATGTGGAATAAAGAAACTTGCCCAAGGCTTCACCCTGCCGAGAATTGATCCCAGATCTCTCGCTTGCAAAGCAAGTGGTCTAATCGCTGAGCTATAGGACTTATCATATCTTTGAGACGACTTTTGAATATACAGCAAAATGAATTGACTGTTTATTTTGTGAGCGAAACATGGCAGCCAATTGCAAATAGACTTGGATTGAAGTGACCAATTTTTTTCTTTTTTTAAGGAATTATTACCCTGGGAAAGCAATCCGCCAAATTGACTGACAACTGGGTCCCTACTTACTGCTAGGTAAACAGAGGCACGTGGTGTAAGGAAACTTGCCCAACATCTTGCCCTGCCGGGAACCATATTCCTTACTTTTTATTTCACTTTAGCTGCAGAATTAGAATTAAAATGATATGAATTGAAAGCAGATCTGATCTAAATTTGAATAATAATGATGATCAAAAAACACAGAAATAGCATGATCAGTTTAGCTCTTAGGGGGGTCACATCCTTAATGTGGAGTAAATGCGTGATGTGATTCATTTAGTGTTTTTGTTATGTGATTTTTTTGTTTATGCAAACAAATTTAATTGGAGCAATCCGATTAAGGTTACTATCCTTCTACAGTAATGCTGGTTGTAGTGAAAAGTTGCTACACCCTATCACATGAAAAAGATCAACACGGGCTGTTATATTTTGAATAATGATCATTATTCTCTCTATTTATATAGCAGCGTGGCCCCGATGGTAGCACTCTTGTCTCTGAGTCAGAAGGCTCTGGGTTCAACAACAATAACAACAGATTGCATTTATATAGCGCCTCACGTCGGATGATCTCCAAGGCCACGTCAGGACTTTGACTCACATTGACGAGGTTGACTCTCGACTACGATGCTGGGGATGTGCTGCATTATTGGAGGTGCCATCCTTCAGATGAGATTTTAAACCAAGTCCCATCTGCTCTCACAGTTCAGTGTTAAAGATCTCATGACACTACTCAAAAAGAGAAAGGAGTTTCTCCTGGTGTCCTGACAAACAATCCCCTAGATTGTCATCCACTTCATGGCTGTTTGAGGGACAGTGTTGTGTACCAAATGGCTGCCACATTTACAAAATGCAGAGTATTTTACAGCAAATTCTGTGAAACACTTTGAGACAACCTCCTGATGCAAAAGGACCTATAACATTTACACATATTATTATTATTTATGAGAAAAGGGATATATAAGTGCAAATTGTTGTAGTTGTTTGTTTACAGAATATTATATGTACGATCCTGTATGCTTCTATATTCCTATCTCTTTTCTACGTTCGGCATTGTTTTACATACGTAATTCTAAATGATCCACTTAGCCAGAGAAGACTACTATCGGTAACATGTCAGTGTAGTGAAATGAAACCTTTACATTCAATGCCAGTGATCGGTGTCATGAAGTTAAAATATTGAGAGACAAAAAAAACACCCCCTTTTCCATGAATTCAGAACTGGACATTTTTCTATTGAATTCACTCTCTTACAGCTACTAAACAGCCCTGTTGTTTTCTGAATTGATTCTGCTGTCTCAGCCACACTGAAGCCTGGCTGCTTTTGGCTTTCATCTGACTGAGCAATTTCCTCGTTTGACACACTGAATTTGGAGTTTAGTCAATAAAAGCTTTACCATGTCCTTTTCTCTCCCAGTGCTCACAAAGGAGAACTAAATTCAATTCATCCTTTCTCTAGTCTCTGTAGACTTTAGCAATACAACTCTACTTGGCCAAGGACATGGCAAAAACTTGGCAGGAACAGCAGCAAAGGAATTTTCTATTCCCATGGTTGCTGCCTTGCAGCCGTGAGGGTGCATGTGAATTTACTGCACTTTAACCATTTCTTTTTGCTTTTATTTTTAAATTATTCAAACAAAAATTCTTCCGTCCATGAAATCTGTCAGATTTTTGTGTGTTTTTCGCCTCTCTCTCCACCTCAAAGTGAAGAAGACCGATCAGAGTATAAAGCTGAGTTTGACGAACAACCTAAACATATTTAATTATGTAGATTTGTGTGAAACAAACAGCAGGGATGCATTGGGTGAATTACAATGGACTCATTACTTCTACAAATGAGGTGTTCAACTTCAACGCTGAAAGAAAAGTAAACAGGCATCCAGCCAGAGCTGCCTTCATCTTTGAATAGTTTGAAAAGGAAAACCTTGAGTAAGATGCATCAACCTTTTTAGTTCATCTCAAATTATAGAAATGCTTCATTTAACTGCAAAAAATAATCTGAGACTTTGGGGGTAAATTAATTGATCAACAAAAAAAACTCAAACACAGTTATGAATGTCACATTTTATGGGGTGAGCTCCAATTTTATTTATGAATCTTAGCCTGGGTTGGAAAGATTTATCAAGAAACAAAATGTTTTAAAAGCCAGAATCTTGCATTAATTCCAATGTGCTAGTTTTTTTTAAAGAGTCACACATGTTCAGTGAAACAACTAGCTGCATCTGCCTGTTCAGTACAGATTAAATTTAATTTTATATGTTTCATTCCAAAGGTATAAGTCTTTATTATGTGTTTCTGATTTCAGTTGAAGAAACGACAGGAAAGAACAAATTATATGTCTTCTATTTTCTCTCTGTGTCCTGGCCAACAATCCTACAGATTAATTTATTATTCACTTTATGGTTGTTTGTTGGCCCTAAGTGGCACAAAAAGTCATTACAAATGGGTTTCCACATTTGCCTGCAAAAGTCACTACACATAGCTGTTTTCAAGACTCGTATCACCAGCTTGACTGGCTTCCAGATTCCTAAAGGAGGGGCTTTTAAGATTCCTATGTTGGTCTTCAAATTTCTTGACAGTTTTGCCCCAACCTATTATCCTGTCCTTCTTTCTTACCCTTCACTCTTTCAACTGACCGACTGCTTATTCTTATCTGCCTGCAACTCACCACCAGTCTCTCATCTTAATAATCCTTGCATTTTTATATAACGTTTTGCAATGTCATGAAGGCATCTGAAAGCGCTTCACAGAATTTTACTGTGAAATTTAATGATTGTGTATTTCAGCCATTCTGCCCCATTATTCCCTGAAACCATTTTCCTTTGCTTTGGGTCTTCGTTCCCTTGCATTCAAAACTCTCTTAAAACCATCTTGCAGAACAGATCGAAGAGTTGAATGGCCTCCTCCTGTTCTTATGTTCCTATCTCCTTAAGCATTCCTTTGGTCAACATTCTCAAACTCCACCTCCTTACAATCTTCTTTGTAAAGCCATAAAAAACATTACTCCAATGTAAAAAGTAATATATAAGTGCATTTTCTTTGTTAAGAGTATTTAACTCAACACATCGTGCCTGAATAAGCCAACTTTTGGGGAGCATGATATTACCTTCCAGATGAGAAGTTAGAACCACAGAAAGCTGCAGCAGAGATGGTCATTCAACCCAGTGTGTCTGTACTGACTCTTTGAAAGGGCAATCCATTCAATCTCATTTATATGTCTTTTCCTGATACTCCTGCAATTGATTCCTCTTCAGACATCTATCTAGTTCCTTCGTGAAAGTTAATATGTATTCAACCATTGCACCCAAACAGGTACTCCACAGTTTCTCTGTGTAAAAAAAATTCTCCTAATCTCCTCCTTTGCTAATTATCTTTCATTAATTGTTAAAATATGGCCCAATTGATGGTTGAGTGAGTCTATACCATATCCTGGCATCATGGTTGTTTGTGGGATCTTGTTGCACACTAAATAGATGCCATATTTGCCTACAAAAGTAGATACTACACTTGATAGTAATTACTTATAAAGATTTTTGAGATGCTTCCGTCCGTCCTTCCTTGCTTCCTTCCTTGCTATGTTTTTATTTCATTTTCCTGATCTGTATGGATCGATTTCACTTCGGAAATGATTTCACCAACTGAGCCATCAGAGCTGCAGCCAACAATATTTAACAGAAATCCCTGTGCAGGGATTTACAATATAGAGGCAAAGACGCAAAGGCATATCTGGTTGCAATGTTTTTCTGTGGCTAAACATTAAATAAAAAGGTTTGATTCCTTAGAGTTACAGAGTTAATGAGTGGATTTAAAGTAGAAATTTGAATCAGATTATTAATAATTACAGCATAATCTGCACTCTGCTTCCACTGCATTTTTTAATTGCAAAACCAGCTCTGTTTCTCAAACAAATCCAGACTTTTGAAAAATGGGCTTAGATTATTAGTTGCGATGTGTACATAATGGAAGTCAGGAAAACCGTTTTTATCCAAAGAGCAAATTTTGAACAACTGAGCTTTTGGCAGTGACATTCATCAAGATAACGTGATTAATTCTGCATGAGTTACATAAACCGTCTCACCTTTTCATGAGGATAGTTTTTTTCCTTTATAAAAATGAGGAAAGTGATTGCATAGGTGTGTGTACTGTATGTCTGCTTTTAGCCAAATTTAATTGTCAAATAACTATGTTGTGCTGGTGCAGCAATGGGGAGAATTCCATCCATTTTATATTGCAAAGAATATCATTTTGCAAAAACCCAAAGCTGTTCAGTTGCACTTCCTAAAATTCAGGGTATTATCTTCCAGAAACATATTTTTGTACGCAAAGCTCATCATTCCTGAATGATAGTCTATGTTTCAACGCAGACTTTCCTGTGCAGTACATTCAGTACAACTCTGTGAGAGGCGCTTAAACATATGATTGGAATAGAAACCAATTGTTTTGTATTCTTGGGAACCAGAAAGGAAATGGACATTCCTGTTAAACATATTCCAAGAACTTTCCTCGTTGGCTTCTAAATGTGGAACTGTAAAATCAGTTAGGTAAAGGCAACAGAAGTAACTTATTTTCCTGCTTCAAATCAGTATATTTCATCACTCTTCAATGTTACTTTAGTCATTTTGTCCATTATGCCTGTCTGACTTCTTTGCTGGGATTATTATTGCTTTCACTGCCTTCATTATTTCATTTTGTAAAAAATGTAGCTTTAAGCATTTAATTATATCATTTCTAATTACAACAATGACAAATTACATGTGTATAGTGCCTTACATGACAGGGGGACATCCCAAGGCCCTGGACAGTGAGGGATCCGCAACCGAGCTAGTGGTTGGGAGCTGGAGGGGTGGAGGCTGGGGGAGAGTAGGAGTAGGAGTGTGACCGAAGGCATGATCGAAGAGGAGGGTCTTGAGAAAGGTCTTGAAGGAGATAATGTAGAGGGCGAGGCAGAGAAACTGTGGGATGGAATTTCAGAGAGTGGGGGCAGAGAGACCAAAGGTGAGGTGGGCAAGGCGGGGCACGTGAAGCAGACTGGAGCCTGCTGAGTGGAGGGGGCAGACAAGACAGGTTGGTAGAGGGTTAGAAAGTAGGGAGGAGCAAGGCTGTGGTGGGCTTTCAAGGTGAGAACCAGGATCTTGAACTATTACACATTAATAAAGTAAAATTAATTCTGTATTGCAATATTATTACAGAAGCCTTTATTGTGGAAGGAGTATAAACAAAAAATAGATACAATTTGACTTGTATATAATAGATACATGTCTCCAAAGGTTATGTTAGGATCTATGTGGAGTCTGTAGCTCAGTGGTTAGAGCACTCGCTTTGCAAGTGAGAGACCTGAGTTCAATTCCAGGCAGGGCGAAACCTTGGGCAAGTTTCCTTACTCCACACGCCTAATAATAATCCCTCCAAAAAACCAAAAACAATAATTAAATTGGTCATTTTCAATCTACGACTGTTTGTGGGACATTGCTGTGCGCAATTGGCTGCCGCGTTCGCCCACAAATATACAGTCAATTCACTTTACAGTGTGTTCTGTGAAGCGCTTTGGGACGTCCTCCTGACGTGAAAAGCGCTATATCAAATGCAAGGATTATTATTATTATTATTATTATTATTATTATTAGAATTGGACAGACCACACTTGGGTGTACTGTGTTCAATTCTGGTCACTATGACACCAATAAAGCATACACAACATTGATTCTGAAAGAGGTTCAAATGCAAAGAATAAAGAACTGACTAGAGAAGCTTAACCTTTCATTTCTGGAAAAAAAACAACTGAAAGAGGACTTCATTGAATTATATAATATTTGATTTGGCTTCTATTATATGTTGGTTTTGTTGTATGCCATGTTTGTAGCTGCTCCAGGGTAGGTGGGGCTGTGCACATGTTGATGGATTGGACTTGGTTGCTCTCTGGACCAGCAAAATGTCATAGTCTTACCTCTCAGGAGTTTTCCATTCTCCCTTTTCACTAAAGAATTCTGGAACTGTTTCATAATTGCAAAATATCCAGAGAAAGCAAGCATGTTAGAGTGCTTCACACACTTGCCAACATTCCAGAATACAGACTGGGACACCGATCACCGGAGACCACTGCTGTTGCATACGACAGAGATAGTAAATTATGAAAAAAATACATTACTTCACTTCAGACTCTTAAGTAAAATGGGAAATAAGAAGAGACCCAGAAAATAGTACAATTTAGTCATCTGTTGAAGAAGTTCAGACAATATTATTAACTCTACAGTTCAAATCCTCACTAGTATCAGAGTCCAATAGTGAAATTACAGCCTAAAAATAGCTTTCATTTACCCATTAGTGCTTGGATTATGAACTGGCATTTCCGGCAGTTAACTTAAATTTTAAAGATTCATTTTGAAACTCTGAAAGAAAGAATTGGAATAGAAAGTATTTGTTGTGTATACTTACCAATTCTGTTCTAAGTAATTTCAGCCTTCAGTCTTCTAAGCAACTCTTTCTCCTACTCAGCCCTAACATACATTTGTCTTCTTATGGCCAAGAACATGAATGTCAGTTTCCTAAAACTAACAAACATTTTGTTCCACCCCTATGCACTGTTGGTCATTCTAGCTGGTGTTACCAAACAGTGCAGTGTTAAACTCCACAGACAATAATATTCATTTGGAATAACCGTATGTCATATGATTCATTTAAAGGTGATATTGTTTTAATTTGAAGAAAATAGTTGACAAGTCTTTATTGTGATCTAATTTGTTATAATATTATGCACAAATGATACAATGTTTTTTGATCTGATTCCCATTCTTCTGTTGTGTAAACAATTGGTGGGGAGGGGAAACTTTTACTAAATTTCCCTTTAAAAGAGCTCAGAAAGATACTCTTTTTTCATTAACATTTACACACAAGAGGCCTTAATTGCTTCATTGGAATACGGGAACTCAGTGCTGTAGTAAAAACTACACTCAATTCAGCAAATATAGATTTGAATAGTTAGGGGCTATAGCAGCAAAGTATTGATTTGAAGGTTTCAAAACCATAATGTCATAAAGGAGTTTATAATAATTTCCAAAGTTCAAGGATGGGAGCATCATTATCACTTGAGGTTATTTCTGTAATTATTTTTGGGTAATTGTAAAGCTTACAGCTTTCAATTACAATAAATATGAATTTGTAAAATTCATGGGCTCAAATCTATTTTTAAAATGGATCAATGAATAAGAACTAACAGGGACCAAAGTAAAAAAGATAATTTTGTGCATTATCTGCCCATCAGCACCAATCGTTGCCCAGGGTTAATAATGTTTCTTTCCTGACTTTCTACTGGCTGCTAGTAAAATAGGCATCCTATTATAAACATCACATTTGGTAAAGTTACCAATAAATGGAAAATAAAATGAGCTCAGCAACTTAGAGTAGTATATTGCAGTGGCCGCTACGCTGTTCAGGAAGAAGCAGTTGTTGAAAGCAAATTTGGGGAACAAACAGATCAATTTTACTGAACTGGGCACAGCAGATCAAAGATAGCCTTATGTAGAGAACGCTCATAGTGAGGGACATCACTAATTATCCACACTGTTTGTTTATCCACAATGGGGCGAGTCTCAGTTAAAGTGGTTAGAGCATCTTTTTATTATATTGGGAATTAAAACTGCAGCTCCCTCTGTGATGGAATTAAAGAATTAACCAGACAGATACTAAACAAACAGCAGTGAAATAAACTAGGACAGAAGGTAGAAAAGAACAACTCAGAAGCTGTAGACATAATGTCTAGAGAGAAGTGACCAAGATTGCTTCTAATACTGATGTGAGAAATGAGCTGCTGTCAGAGAACAAGCTCCAGGACTGGGAATAGGTTTATGACTTTGTATGAGTTTGAAATGTAACTAGTTGACATATGTAAAAAATCTAAGTACATCGAGGAAGTTATCAGATCTCATAAGATTGCCCAAACTTGGAAACTATGTGAGAAACACCTTCTAGTGTGCTCATTTGAACCAATATTAATGAAACACTCAAGATAAGACTGTGAAGATAATTATGGAGAATGGGATTAATTATGTGAGAAGTTTATTGAAGGAATTTTATACACGGTGAAAGGATGGGAAAAAGGCCAAGCTTTAACCTTAAGCTTCAGGATGAATGATAAAAGTTTCTGAAAAAAGAGCTGTAGTGCTGATATTCATTTAATCTGTTTGATATTTAGATCATGGTAATAAAGTAATGGATTGCTTACTGCAAGTTTCACATTTGTAATTTCCTCTTCTGACTGAGAATTCACCAAGCCGGCTAGCCACTGATCCAAGGGGAGCATAGCAGAAATTGCCATGATAGTTTACAAGAGCTAGAAAACTTTGGACAGCATTACATTGGATTTATGAGTGTGGGAAGGAAATCTGGACATCACATTACATTTTCCTAATGTGGGCAAGAGTACACCAAGGGAAATGAAACTTTAAGTATGAATAGAATGCTGGGGTGGAAGAATCCATGTCACTTAAGACATTGAATCATTAATGGGACCTGATAGATAAGATTATAAATAGAATAATTGTATGAAGTTAGGATTGACCAACTTTAGAATGACCGTTGATCTGAAGGTCATACTGAGCTACTTTATATCTCAGTATTATTACCATTGCCACAATATAGCAACACTAATACATTAAATAGTTTCTGTAATCCTCCAAACAAGTTTATTGTGACCCGTCTGCCCTTCCAAATCCTGTGATGAGTCAGATTGGCTGGTCTGTAATCATCAGCCCTCTGAAGCTTTGCAGGCCCATCTGGCTCAGGAAATAGACTGCAGATTCAGTTGATGGTAATGGTGTATTTTACTCTCCTCAGAATAAGACTTGGGCTATCGTGCACGTAATACTACATGTAGAGATCTTTTTTGTTAGATCAATATAATGGGAAGACTGTAGACTAACATTCTTGTCCTGACTTTCAAATCCCTTACAGTCTCAGCCTTCCATAACCATGCACATACCTCCAGACTTATTCCTCTGCTCTTCCGAATTCTGGTCTATACCTCATTCCTCACTTATTTTGTCCCACTATATCGGTGGTTGAGCTTTCAGCTACCATGCCCCTGTCAAGTGGACGCTCCTTCAAAATCTCTTTAGTCTTGTGTCCTCATCAAAACTCCTAGACACATCTCTTCGAATGTGCCTTTGGTTACCATTAAGTCTGCCACATACTTTGAGACATTCATGCTAGCGAAAGTCTCTATACAAGTTATTTTTAACAATCAGCATAAGATAGACTCCAGAATCTCCATCCCATCTTTAAATTTGGCCTTGTTCCAGTTTTAGTTTCATTTTGTTCTATTCTACAGCATCCACCATGGGTCGCATCCTGTACACTGACTAGAGGAAGATGCATATAACCTTGGCTTTCCATTTTCTGACTGGAAACCATTGTAGGATGACACCATCTCAATTCTGTCAAAATGGTCATATTGGTGTGTGTAGTCTATTTACGATATAATCTATCCACTAACTCACTGCATCCATTCGGTGTGCAGTATATTCTGCATATCTGCCCCTCTTAACTTTACAAGGCAAAGAAAAAATCATTTTGGTAATGAACTGTTTGTTGATCTGTTATTTTGGTGAATCGTAATTATAGCCTTTGGCAAATTTGAAAACAATAACAACAAGGATCACATACACATGCGGGAATACTGGGATGATTAATATGGTGGAGAATCTACGAATGATTTTGACCATATTACCTCTAAATGGCACCAGGAGGAAACCTACAATGAAACTGGGATTCCTTTAGAAGAGCATCATTTATTAAGACAGATTTTTTTAATTTACATTTTGCTTTCTAAATTGAATACATTGCATTATTCCCTCCAAGCGCAAAATACTGCAAATGCTGGAAATCTGAAAACCAAAACAGAAGTTGCTGGGAACATTCAGCAGGTCAAGCAGCATCTATGGAGAAAGGAAAGTGAGTCAAGGTTTCGGATCCACGACCCTTTGTCAGAACATCCGTTCTGACGAAGGTCGTGGATCCGAAACCTTGACTCACTTTCCTTTCTCCATAGATGCATTATTCCCTCCATTTAGTTTGAATGGGGGAAGTGGAAATCCCACACCTAGGCGTGCACTGATTGCCAAAATAAACAAGACAAGAGATCACATGACTGAACCTGCAGTAGTATTAAGCTTGTGTTTCTTTCACAGTAATGTTATATAATAAGATTATCAAATGTCTAACTTAGAAAAATATAACATGCCACCATTCTTGTAATGCATTCTTTAAACACTTGTACAAATTTTAAACAGTATATTAGACACACTTTTATAATCCTTCTACGGTATCACTACTATGTTGGTGGTCTATTGTCCCCTAAACACAGCAGAACTTGTTGGTTACTTATGGGACTCACTACACAGCTCTATCAACTATGCTCCTAGGCCATGATAATTACTATTCTGAAACACTCTGCAATCCTGAGACCAAGGAAACACTTCATTTTTGTTACTCACAGTACAATTCTGCAAGGCATAAAAAATTCAGCTATAATAAGCAACAGAAAAGTGTGAGATGATCATTAATTGGTACATGCATACCAGGATCAGTTCAAACTTGCCTCAGGTTTTATATTTATGGGGAAAAAATGCTTGCTTTCTTGACAAATGGAAACAAAAAGCTGTAAGTAATCTGGATCAGTCAGACGTTTCGGGAATTAAAAAGAATGATTTTCCTAGCTTTTAAATTCAGAGCACAGTTGCAACAGTGAATTTCATTCACCTCTCCTTCTTCAACTTATTCATTTTCCTTTTGCCAGCGTGCAGTCATTTTTTTCCCAAAGAGACTTGTTGTTTTTTTCTTTCTCCCAAAGGTGGAATCTTCTGCCAATGAATGTTTCCATCAGAGGGATGAGTCTGAGCCAAGTCAAGTATTTGGGTTGAATGTTAAAGCACTCAAGCTGCTTCAAAACAGGAAGCGTCTACACTAAGTGACAGATAGCTTGCTTTCCTCAAGGGCATACCACTTTGCCTCCAAGCCATACATGGTTCATTTCAGCACTGGCCTCCTCAGGACATATTGAGTTCATGTTCTCTGAGGACCGTGTCCACTCTCTCCTCCTTTTCCTGTGAATTTGATTGACGGAGCAAATCTCTGTCTGCTGGGAAAATAATTGCTCAAAATTTTGGTTGCCTGCTGCCAGGAACCCATTAACATATCTAACATTTGCAGATGTCTGCTGGAAAACTCTGCCTTTTATTACTTTATCTATGTGTGATTTCCAATTCACTAAACTATTTTATAAATTGCCACTGTCCACTGTGAACTCCTATATTTGTAATCACTGTAATTTGTGTGATGGAAATCCATAGACTATAGCATGAAGCATGAATCCACAAGCTTCTGGTGTGGTTTGTTTTGGTGTAGCATTTGTTACTTCAATGCACTAAAAGCAGCAACCAATCTTGTGTCCAGATATTTTGGTCTTGCAAGGTTATGTCCCTGACAGTTATCAATCTACCCACTCAAAAATCTATTCATTAGATTTTGGACACTCTTCCAGCTTGATGCAAAATTCTCTACAAACTGACAGATTTGCTT